AGTTGAAGTTGGACAATTAATTTGTATATAAATCGAATATGTGTACGCAATACTATATAGAAATATATTTTTTTAAAACTTCATTTGGAAAATATTACTGGTACTTGAATTTCAGCTGAATGCCCACCCTTAAGGCTTCGTTTTCCTGACAAATGGGTTGGAAGATGCGCGAAGTTCGCGTAACCTGTACTATTACGAGAAATAGAATTGGTATGTCATGGCCAATCGCGCCACTTGATTTCTATTCAATATTATTATTTGTCAATCTAATATTTCTCGAAAACGGAGCCTTAAATAAACGAATGTTACTTTCTTCAGACTTATTTTTGCACGTGGAATTCATGGCCTGTTGTACCACAATTTTTTGGACACTTTATATAATTTTATATTATTCTATAATATTATATTAGTAACGTGGTTTTTATGCAAAGTGTTGATTTGAGATCCATGGTTCCTTGAAGACTATTTTTCCTTCTGACGAGAACTGCACGATGCAATAAGACAAGTATTTGATGCTCAATCAAATTATGCTCAAGGTCAATTTTGTGGTAGCTTTTTTTAACAGATCTCCATCGATCCAAAGGTGTAGAATACGACTATGACGACCGGGACAAAACATTTTTATACACCCAGCATATTTGCAGAGACCACGAAAACATAAAAGCATAAAATTCAAATAAATCACAATATTTTTGTGCACTTGAGTGGTGTATTTAAACAATTTTGGCATACTTTCAAAACTAATTATAACACCAAAATCCTACAAAGTGCAACGTTACGTATTAGTCGAAACGGATGAAAACAGATACTGTATATATGTATATATTTATTTTTGCGCCGAAACATACAGTTGTGTATATAATTGTAGACTCAAAGTGTCTTTTACATTTTTAAACAAAAATTTAACGAAATCTCATATTAGTATATTTCTATATTAGAAATAATAGAAAATAGAAATATACAAATATAGCCTCTTTAGGTATTTATTTAAATATCAGCAAAACTGTAAAAGTTATTTTAAGTTTATAATTATCTGCACCTTAAGTGGCCGCCTTTAGTTGACACACCCTACATATTCAAAAGAAAATAATAGATAATAGAAACATACAAATTTGATATATCATTTAGTTTATATTTTAAGTTTATATTATATATAATTAAGATTATATATTAAGTTATATTAAATTATATTAATATAATTATATATTATTAAGTTTTCGTTTAGACGTCAGTAACAATATGAAAGTTACTATAATTATGCACACCACTACAATTTCGACGATTGCTGGCATCGTTTCCTAACATTTCAGCAAAGTGATCATAAATGCTGACCGTTTACGTAAGACTGAGTTCTAAACAGTTTTAGTTCAAGGCCATGCCGCGTTTTAAAATAAATGGTACTACAGAATACCACTGAGGTTAAAGGGTTCGAAAATTATTTCCGATGAGCTATTTTATTGAGCGACTACAATACTAAAAATAATTTATTCAATCAATTATTCCCTCCTTATCGAAACGATTGTCCTATTTGCATAAATTATTTGAATCGAAATGATTGTCCCATTTTAAACAATAATGTTTTTAAGCATGATCTATTAAGCATGATATAGCTAAACGAGTATAATAACTATTTATTTAACTTTTATTTTATATAAAAAAAATAGCTTCTATCTCCTTAATTCGATGCAAATTTATAAATCGGACAATCATTTCGATACGAAGGGAATATAATTTTTTCCAGTCTTTCGATTGTGCTATAAACTGTGCTTAAGAGCTTCCTATCTGAAAATGAAGACATGCAGTATTTTGAATATACCAAAAGTTGGAATTTTCCCATGCGTAGAAAGGTTTGCAAAGTTTCGAATGGTACATTAACATTTTCTGACGGATAAATCTGGCAATGCAGTATTACGTACAAACGACTTGACAACATCGCTGCTGGAGATGTTATTGAAGCAATTCAGTATTACTTAATTTCAACGATATTATATTGTTCGGAATGCATAAATAAATTTTGATCTTGAATTTATTTTATAATGAATCATGAATATGTGTATTTTAAATCGTTTGAACTTTTTCCTTTATACAGTAAATACTCTTCAATTGTCTCTCAGTTTGTATACAAAAATGGATAATTTAGGAAGAGGAGATACTATAGATATAATACTATATACAGGGTGTTCCACAATTACTTTAACAGCCGAAAATGAGGGGTAGCTGAGGTCATTTGAAGTAACTTTTTCCTTTGCGAAAATGCAATCTGCGGCTTTGTTTACGAGTTATTAACGAAAAACACTGGCTAATGAGAGATGATGGTGCGAGAGAGAGAGAGAGAGAGAGAGAGAGAGAGTCCGCGAGAGAGTCCGCAGCACGAGGCTTTGACAGATGGTCGGAACGGACTCAAGCTGCGTTCGAAGTATTGAACAAATCACGAAGCGAGAACTATCTGGATTTTTTTTACTCCGTAACAGTGATACTTTTAAGAAAAACGCTGTTCACCTTTACCTTAGAACGTCTGAAGAATATTTACTAATTTTTCTGACCCGAAATAATAAGTAATTTAACCGTGACGGCCGTTTTAATTTTCTAGTGTGCATAACACCTCGTGTGTAACATGTGAAATTTTTAAGCAGAGTGTACAGTGAAGATTAACAAAGTATGTAAATGATCTTTTACGTGAATGATATTTTATTTAAATAATTCCGTGTCCGAACACAGTTCAACGAATGATCCGCAAAACTAATTTAATAAATAATAATCGTGTTAAAGGACGTAAGGGATATGTTTGTTAGAGAAATATGAAGAATATTATCAATAAGAAACTCACCCATTTAGTTGTAAAATCCACTTCATGTATCCGACGGCGACGAACAGAAGGATGTCTCCGGGCAGGCAATATCAGCGTTTACTTTCACTGCATTATCACTAAACACTGATCACCGCAACTTCTGCTCGTCAGATGGTCCTCTCAAAGGTAGTCCCGATGGCGACCACTAACGTGTCGTCCTCATAGCAGACGAGGGTGGCACCGTCGGGCAGCGAGGCCTTTTCAAAGACCACGTTATATCCTAGGTCCCACAGGAGTGGTCCTAAAACAGACCCCACGGTCCACTTCCCTCCGCATCAACCCGTACCGGCCCGGGTATTCTACCCACCTGTCCCGCAGGTAGGTCCCGATCACCTGCCTCGGATAGGGAGGCTCCTGATGCTCGATCAGGGCCGCCCAAATGGCAGACCAGGGCAGGGTGTTAAATGCGTTGACGATGTCAATAGACACCGCCAAGCACACTCCGCCCTTTGCCACGGCATTGTCCGAGAGGGATTTGAAACGGTCAACCGTGTCGACTGGTAGTCCGCCAGATCGGGGCCGTCGCGGGATAGGTGCCTGGTGAGGCAGGCAATAATGATCTTCTCGAAGATCTTGCCCGCCTTATCCAGGAGACAAAGAATCCGCAGGCTTCCCATCCTTCCTCAAAAGGACCATCCGACTTCCTCTCCAGAGGTCGGGGAACGTCCCCGTTCAAGAGGCTTTTCAGCCTCTCGCTCAGGACGCTCATGGCGAGCAATCAGACCCGGCCGGGGATACCGTCCGGCCGTGGGGCAGTATTCTTGCCCTGAAGCCATTTGACGACCCCGGCCATTTTCTCCGGCGCAACCTCCAGATCCGGGGACCACTCAAAGTCCTCTGGCTCAGGGGCGGGCTGGGACGCCTCCCCGCTAACGAGGAATAACGCGTCCACGATCCGCCCGAGTAGCCCTAGATCTAGGCTTTCCGTCACGGGAGGCGACCAGTGACGTAATCGTCCCATTGCCATCTTGTATGGGCGCCCCACGGATTCAGAGAACCGAGGAGATCGCGCTAGGCCTGGTCTTTCGCCCACCTGATGGCCAGCTGCAGGGCGATCACCTTCTCCCTGTGTCGCCCGTATAGCTGGGCAGCAAGATCTTCGTCTGCTCGTCGTCGTCGTCGACGGGCGCGGGCGTACTGGCGTTACGCGCGGACGCACTCAGTGCGTAACTCCGCTATTGCGCGCGATTACCAGTACACCGCCTTCCTCGGGAAGACCCTGGCACGGGGCATGGAGACGCCGCAAGTCGACATCATTGCGCCCCGGAACCAATGGGCCTCCCCTGTCTCGTCGACTGGCCCGGCCGGTGTTGCTGACCAGGCCACGACATGTGCTGCCGCCATCAGAGTGTCTTGGTCGAGGTGCTTCAGCGCCCACCACAGTTGAGGCGAACCCTCATCGGCGGGGCGACATTGGGGTGTCGATGGTAGGGCGGCGGAGAGGCTGAGAATTATGTATCTGTGGACTCTTCCGCCACCCTCCACCCAGTAATATGGCGCACAGCTGGGGGCGTTGCTCACGAAAGAAGAACGATAGACTCTCCGTTATGCCGCACGCACGTATGGACCGAGCCCGTGTTTGGAGACGAAACTCGAGTCCCGCCGCCCAATCTAGCACCACCCGGCCCCTCGAGTCTGTCCCAGGGGAACCCCAAACCATAGCCTTGACATTGAAGTCGCCCAGGACCAGTACCGGATGGGATTGGCAGCGGGAGATGCATCTCCCTACCCCATCTAGGCACTGGTCAAACTCGTCGAGGGACCACCTTGGAGGCGCGTAGATCGCCACAACTGCGGTGCCGCCCCAATCAACGGCCAGGTATCCCCGGCCTATATCCCCATATTATAGCGGCGGAATCCCCCATCCAATGTGGATGGTCAGGGACCCTGCGCGGCTCTGCCACTACGGCCAACTCGGCACCCCGCTCGGCCAAGAATTGCACAAGGAGATCATGTGCCCTGGCCGAGCGGTTCAGGTTAACCTATATAATCGGGTCTTTGGGCTCCATTATACTTCAACCCTAATGTCCATCGCGGCCGCGGGAGCGGTGGCGTCTGGAACCTTATTAGCCCCGTCCGCCCCCGCGGGCGCGACGACGACCGGGCTGCCGCCTTGGCCACCGTGGCTTCCTTGCCATTTCTTTTTCTATTTTTAGACGGCCTTTGACCGCCTCCCCTGCCTCGCCTCGCACTGGCGAGACACGCCCGGCTGCACGCATGGCCCGCCGGCTTGCCCGCGCCTGCACAAAGCGGGCAATTGGACGTCCGGACAGCTTGTCACCTTATAGTCCCGACTGCCGCATCCATAGCAGCAGTCGGACCTGTCCTCGGCAGCCGTGCACCGCTGCCTGGTGTGGCCAACACCAAAGCATCGATAGCACTGCAGAGGCTGGGCGCGCAGTGCCTCTACAGCTACCTGGGCCCAGCCGACAGTTATCCTGCCCGCGACCGCAACTTTGCATGCGGCCGCGGCAGGACACTGGACCCAGAGGTTGCCAAGTCTCGAGGGGAAGGACCGAATCTCGTCGGTCTTCACCTCCCCCTCGCTGCACCCTCCCACGAGGGCAACAGCTGCAGCGACATCTGCTGGTGTGGTCGAATCGACCAGTATCCTTAAGTCAGCCTTCTTGACTGGGCGCGCGACTTTTACGCCGGTTCCCGCCAGCTCTTCTGCCACTTTTGCGGCGAGGACGGTGATCTTGGCGGCTCCGTCGGCGCCGGGAACCTCCAATATGATGGCCCCCATCATCGCCCTCCTGGGCTTCAATGAGGCGATGCCAATTTCTGCCAGGTCCACTTTGGACCTGGCAGTGGCCATCGCCTCTGCGTACGTCACCGCCCCGCTGACTGCCACCGGTATTGTAACGGCTGCCGTGCCCTTTTTGGGGGCCGTCGGGGCCACCCATCGCCTTCCCGGCCGGTGTGGCTTTAGCAGCTGCCGCCGTCAAACTGGCCTTCCGGCCAACCACCTTAGACCACGCCTCCTGGGTTGGAGGCGTGGCGGAGGGTGGCACAATATTATGGGCAGCCCTAGGCAGCTTTAGCGGCCCCAGCTTTCCCTTTTTTCTTTTTTTTCCTCAGCCGGCCCTTCCTGTCCGAAGACTGAGGTGGGCCGGATGGCTCAGGTGCCACCGATCCCGGGGCCGAATGCACCTGCGGCGCAAGCTCCCTCCTAAATGATGCCATGTTGGCATCAATGAGGGAGCCTATCTGCGCCAGTAAATCTACTGACGCAGCCGCAGGTGGAGGCGAGGACCTTCCTCGTCTAAGGCGTTGGAGCCCTTGGGTGCGTCCACCACCTGACGGAGCCGGGTCACCTCCGCCTGCAGCTCCGTCATTTGCCCCCTGAGGAGGGCATTTTTGGCCTCTAGGACTTGGGTGGTGTCCGTAGCTGACCTGACAGCCAGCTCCGACACCTTCACGACGCGATATCCCGCGTCGGGTGGTTGCGGAACTCTTCCGCAATTTCCGCCTCGTTCGGGAGCGGGATGCTCGACCGCGACGGTTTCGGCACCGGGGCAGCCGGATAAAAAATCGCCTCAGCCTCCAGCTGGTCGGCCCATCTTCCTGGCGCAGCTAATGCTCGGGGCACTCTGCGACGAAAGGTTGAAGGAAATCGAGCCATCGGACTCCTGTCCACCGTCGCAGTCGTCCAGGCCTGCCGCGGACCTTTTAACACCACGTGTCGCGGATCGGGTCCGCAGCTCAGGCTGTGCCAGGCGCTCAAGGCGCACGCTTACCTCGCGTACGTCTCGCTCTTCACATTGACATTCTTTGTCAACACTAATATGTCTCCCTATAGCATTATCCATCGGGGGGGGGGGGGGCTAGGAAGTCTACCCCACCAGTCATAGGATGACCATCGCCCGGGGCCTGCTCGCCCACATCCGAATAGGACGGGCTCTGGGGGTTCCGAAGCCCCTTGAGCAGTAAACTCCATACTGTTTTCAGACATTAGGCCATAAAACTTCCTTGGTCGCTCTTAGTTTTCTCTGCTCAGACTGGATCCTACCAGCAAGGGAGGCCCTGTCAGGAACCGAAGTTCCCGCCGGCATCGCACCAATCTTCATCACGGGTACTTAAGCCCCTATACCACGACAAGGTGGCGACCGCATAGGGGAGCTTAATTGTACCGTGAGTTAAGATAGTTCTAAGTTGTACACTGCACAAAATTGTATGTCATGATCACCATAGCGGGATTCTCACATCTGGTCAAATTGTGTTTTGCTGTATTCTATAGTACTCATTAGGAGGAACAATAGTCTTGAAGGAATCGTGGGTCAGAAATGAACTCCTTACATAAAAAGCGATGTAAAAACGCTATATAAAAAGTACATGTCACGACCACCACACCCAAAATCGCGGTGCAACCGATCGGGTAGTGATTCTACATGCAAAAATAAGACGGAGAATAAGAGTGCGTGGAAATTGATACCTACCTGACAATGCCTATTTCCAATTTTCCTTTGAACTAAACTGATTTCTCAAGTTAGTGCGCTTTTATCCTAGCAAAAACTATGAATCAATTTAAATAACTGAGAAAAACTTCGTATCCGAATTTCGAAGTTCCAAAAAATCTTCTATAGAAAATAAAAACATACTTAAAATCTGGATAAAATATTAATCTTATATTAATACATTTAATATTCATAATCAGGATAATTGTCATGAATTTATATAAAGTAAGGAAATCATTTAGTATCATCATTTTCCAAACATATACAATGAAATAATTGTAGAATTCAATACCTATTTTCAAATATAAAATGGTAACAAATTATTTTAATTTATCCAACTATATGATCCGAATTTTAAATCAATCTGTAAAGCTTGTATCAGGCAATAATTCGGAGTCCTTCTAGGTTCTAATCGCTGCTAATTTTGGATAATCCTGACGTTGCCCATTGGAATGTATAAAACTGATTTGAGTTTGTGAGAGATCTTTCAGTGATCGAGGTGTACTCCGATAATTTCCGTAATTTAGAAAGTGTTCAAACATAAAAATGGCCGAAGGAAAATAACGAAATGAAAATCCTAACAAACAAAGGAAACTATGGCAATATTATCGAAAGAAACAACATACTGCAATGGATAGCAATAATAATTTGGTTCCACAAAATGCAGTTAATTAATGTTAAAATCAAAATAATTCGAACAAAAATGAAGTTTTCAAGCTGAAATTTTTACTATGATTATGTACTATGATATTGAAGAAAATTGGATTTTGCAATTCGATAATTTTTTCACAACAAATTTTATTTTTTACTCAATAGTGGAAGTTGAAAAATTAATTCTTACATAACTCGGTTATGTATAAAAAATACTATAGAAATATATTTTTTCAAAATTTTTTTGGTAAATTACTAGTATTTGATTTTCAGCTACATGCTGCCGCTTAAATGAAAAAACGTTACCATTTCTCTTCGATTTATTTTTGCATGTAGAATCACAATTTTGGGTGTGGTGGTCATTACATAATTTTTACGTGTCGTTTTTAACATCGTCTTTTGTGGAAAAGATTGGCTTGAATCCTATGGTTCCTTTCAATCTATTGCTCCTCCGGACGAGTACTATGCGATCCAATAATAAAAAGATTTGACCCTGAAAATCATGCTCAAGGTCAATTTTGCAGCAACTTTTTTTAGCAAATCTGAATTAATCCAAACGTGTATAATACGGCTATGATAGCCAGGACGAAACATTTTTGTAGACTGTCACGCTGTTTTTTACCCAGGCCTGTTTTATTGGAAGTGGAGAAAGATCTGACTCCGGGTTTTGCGAATGTTGAGGCTAGGTCGCACGTGGGTTTGCGCACAGGCGATTCACCTGGGACAATCGCCGACATTCCGAGAGCCTCCGTGAGTTCTCTACAATAATGAACCATTAATGAACCATTCGGACGCACAGTGGGAATACATAGTCTCTAGTGATTTTACGTGCAGCACCTGCCCAAAGGCTTATCCACACGGCCCCCATGGGCGCGGAATTGAGATACGCTCAATAAGCGCGCTGCCACATGCCAAGCCATGCAGGAGCTACCAGTTACTACGAGGACGCGGACTCTCGTCAGCAGACAACTGGTGGTGCCGAGCCCTTTCTATGCTCTACCGGCTCAGCAGGTCGGTTCCCGAGCTGAATACCGCAGCTCACCCGTCGAGGCCCCCAACAACTTTAAGGTGGGACATAACGAGGAGGGAGGGAAGAGGTAAGGAAAGGAAGGGAAGGAGCCTCTGGCCAACTTTAGCCGTTTACCACTGCCCCCTCGATGGACCTACCCACTGCCGGCCCGAGGTATCCCGGGCCAGATGGCCGGGACCTCGTGGGCACGCCGACACCCGAGGTACCAGTATTTAGAAGGCCGACTGGTTGGACCTGTCGTAGCTACGCTACTACCATGTTCGGAGACACCGCATCTCCAGCACTGGTCGGCTAGCGCTTCGGGATCGTGTAGTCGCTACTCTACAACGCCTAGCACTAAGGAATCAGCAGAATAGGACCCGGCAAGCCGTATCCTACCCGCCTTTCTACCTGTGTTCACTGCCCTGCGCCGATCTCTAGACACATAGTCTCTAGTGATTTTACGTGCAGCACCTGCCCAAAGGCTTATCCACACGGCCCCCATGGGCGCGGAATTGAGATACGCTCAATAAGCGCGCTCCCACATGCCAAGCCATGCAGGAGCTACCAGTTACTACGAGGACGCGGACTCTCGTCAGCAGACAACTGGTGGTGCCGAGCCCTTTCTATGCTCTACCGGCTCAGCAGGTCGGTTCCCGAGCTGAATAACGCAGCTCATCCGTCGAGGCCCCCAACAACTTAAGGGTGGGACATAACGAGGAGGGAGGGAAGAGGTAAGGAAAGGAAGGGAAGGAGCCTCTGGCCAACTTTAGCCGTTTACCACTGCCCCCTCGATGGACCTACCCACTGCCGGCCCGAGGTATCCCGGGCCAGATGGCCGGGACCTCGTGGGCACGCCGACACCCGAGGTACCAGTATTTAGAAGGCCGACTGGTTGGACCTGTCGTAGCTACGCTACTACCATGTTCGGAGACACCGCATCTCCAGCACTGGTCGGCTAGCGCTTCGGGATCGTGTAGTCGCTACTCTACAACGCCTAGCACTTAAGGAATCAGCAGAATAGGACCCGGCAAGCCGTATCCTACCCGCCTTTCTGCCTGTGTTCAGCGCCCTGCGCCAGCACAGTGGGAATACAGTAATTTCTCCCAGAAATGCCAAATTTCGTGTTGCTATGAACCCGTCAAGCATATGGTGCGCCACGCGATGCGAATACACGGAAGACAATACAAAATGGTCTGTTCGGTGTGAATTAAGTAAGAAAAACTGCGGAGCTACAAGGTACGTGATAGGTACTAGGTACAGTAATGTCTCTCTAACTGACGCTCAGATTGTGCACAAGAATGGACAATCTGGGAAGAGGAGATACGATTATTCGAGCCTTGCAGCTCGTTTCTATAGTTCTTGACAATTCGTAACTATAAAAACGAACCGCAAGGCTCGAACAATCGTATCTCCTTTTCGCAAATTGTCCATTTTTGTGGACAATCTGAGCGCGAATTAGAGATACTTTACTGTACGTGACCGTCAAATCGTGGCATATGGTCTTCGAATTGCCTTCGAATCGTGTTATATGGTCTCCGAATTTGTCTTTCCGCAACTAGAAAGTGAAAATTGATCATGGTGGATGGCGTTAGAACTCCTTCGCGTTCGAAACATCCTGGTCAAATGCAGTTTGTTCGAATATATTACAATGAACATGAATTTTCAAAATTGACGCTAAATTAGCGTTATCCAAACGAG